ACCTCAAGTTAATTTCTCTTACAAGCCATTTTTGCTAAATAAAAAATAATTTCTCCATTTAAAACCACTGTTAACTAGGACATGCCATACCATAAAATTTCCAGAGGTTTCTACGAACATGGAAAACCCCTGACAAATACAACTGACCAGTGGAAGAGCACGTGGTAACTGGAAGGAGGAAGAAGATGGAGAGGAGCCCTGAGCAAACCGTGAGTGGTAATTCCTCTGTCCCAGAGTGCCATCCTCCCCTGTGTGCCGGAGCTGTTAGCCTCAGCTTCCGAGAGCTAGCTGGGTGCTCTTTTCTACACTCCACACTTAGAGGCATACACTGAGGACCTACAACTAGCCTGGTGTAAGCACTTACACCAGAGAAACTGGAGAGCCACTACTCAGCACATCACTGGGGAGGAGACTTCAAAGACGGGAGGCTGCTGAGGCATGGCGAGAGATCAGACAAGCACCCTGTGGCCATTAATCATGATATGTCACCTTGAATTGATTAAGAGACATTCTGGAGTACAGTTCTGGGCATGTCTGTGGATGACGGACACGCAGGCCAACAAACTAGGTGGGGAAGATCCATCCTGGATGTGAGTGGCACTGACCAGTAGGCTTGTAGCCTTTCAACATTGGTCTCCAGTTTCTTCAGGCTCTAACATAGGCCCGCACTGGTGACTCTCGAGGGAGCTTCCAGGCCCTCGACCTGGGGCTGGCACTGCATCCCTGGCTCCTCTTGTTCTGCCGCTCCCATCTCTTTGGGCTGAGCAGCTCCTGGATCCTCCAGCCCTCTGGTGTGCCAATGGCCAGTGGGACTCTCCTGCTCTGACCACATGGACAGCCACTATGGATGCTCCCTACACTGATCCTGCAAGCCTCCTGGTAAATCCCCTGGGGTAATTATACATGTTCTCTGGTACTACTCCCTGGAGAACCCTAGCTACCACACACCCAGGTCCCAGAGTCCGTGTCCTCAACTCCTAGGCTCACAAGAGATGGCACTTCCTTCCAAGGAAGAGAGGACACCGTATTTGATGAGATTTCGAGAGGTGGAAGGAGTAGGGGAAAGATGAACCCTTGTCTGAGTCATTTAATCTCCCTGGATTGCTGTTTCCCAAGCTGTCACAGCACAGGATCTGTGTCCTAGCTGAGGCAAGAGGCAAGTCCACATCAAGTCCTCGATGAGCTGTCTCTAAGGACTGCTACACAAGCAGACTGCGCATGTGAACACTCATGTCTGTGTACTGGTATGCACACAAGTATGTCTCTGGCCTCTTTTGGTTCTGAGAGAAAAACCTTGCATCTTGCAAATAAATGATGAGCAGAGAGAATTTGTGCATACAAGAAGGGCAAGATCCTGGGGATGGCAGATACTGTGGCACAGCAGCTGACTTTTAAAACACTGTAAAGTCTGTTTGATCCCCTGGGCCTCTGGCTCCAGGCCAGTGAAGGAGGGTGTCAGGTTTGAGTCCAGAAGGTCCCCCCAACACCTCATGTGTTTAGGGGGCCCTCTGGAAGGTGACTGGATCATGGGGTGCTGTACTCTCCAGTGGGTAAGTCCCCTGAGGAGTTCAGAGCTGAATGTGCTGCTAGAGCATGGAGCCTGGTCAGAAGAGGCTGGTCACTGGGTGTGGCCTGGGAGGGCAGCTCTTCTTTTCCCTCTCTCTGCTTCCTGGCTGCCACGAGATGAGCGACTTTTCTCTGCCATGCCATGCTCTTCCACCATCTGCTTCTGACTATGGACCTCTCCTCCTTCAAGTCGTGAATGTTGGGTACTGTGACCCAGCAGAGGGAAAGTGAGCAGGACAGAGGGGGTTCAGTTAATGGCTATGCTCACCTTCTCAATGAGGTGGGCCCAGTCCAAGAGGGCTGGACCAGGGGTACCGTGGAAGGGAATGCTGGTGGACTTTTGCCTGAGATGCCCAAGGCCAAGACTTGTGCATCCGGGATTTGTAATACTACACTATTTGGAAGGAAAGAACATGAAAGTCACAATCCAACTGCAGGAAAATGAACTACAACCCTCAAAGACACCAGGCTCTTATCCCCAGAATCTGTAAAGGCTGCCTTTGATGGGAAAAGGTCATTCTAGATTAGAGTAAATTAAAGATCCTAAATTTACTGTGAGATTATCCTGGATAATCTGAAAACCCTAAAAACAACCAAACTGCCAAAACAAGTGCCCTTCTAGAAGGGAGGCACAAGGAGATCTCACAAGAGGAGGAGGCTGTGCCCGCAGAGCAGAGACTGAAGTGTGCTGTGCCTCTGGCCTGGCATGCCTGTACCTTTCTCTGTATGGGGGTGTGGACCTCATGCACTATTTAAGTAGTGACAAAGGATTTCAGGATGATCTTCAGATTTTTTTCAAGAAAAGTGAAAAACTCCACTGATATGAATTCTCCCAACTTTATAGTTTGGCAACTAATTTTGTTTTTGACAACTAATTTAAAAAATGCTTAAATCATGTTACCAAACAAAAAGTCTATCTGCATGGTGGCCTCAGAGTTCCAGGCTACTGTGGTCTCGCTTCTGTGGCAGATTTGCCTTCAGTGGTATGGGTCTCTGACTGGCCCACAGCCCCTAATTCACCTGTCCCTTCTCGGAGGAGGGAACACGCCCACGTGAACTATGAAACCACAGGGCCTGGGAAACAGGGCATCTCCACAAGCAGGAGGGGAGGAGAAGGAAGTATAGCAGACTCTCCATTGGGGACAGTCAACAGAAGTCCACAACTGTACCAACAAATTTGCACACGAGCACCCCAGCGTCGTTCCAGCTAAATTCCCAATGTACTAGAAGTTTTTTAGGTGCACCTGCTCAGTCTACGGAGGATCAACTGCTGTCAGGTCCCTGGTTTCTGTAGGAAGAGCAGCAAAGACAATCTGAACATGGCTGTCAACTAACTGATAAGGAAGGCAGTTGGTCTTAGCCCCTGCAGGATGGCCCAGGAGATCTGGTATCTTAAGGCTGCTTTGAATGGTAGTGCTAGGCATGGCCCAAGGAAAGGACCTAAAGCAATTCCTGCTCAGATACGATGTGCACAGATCTCTCTGGGCCTCAGTTTCCCTCCATGTAAAGTGAAGGTGCTAGATAGGTCTTTCTGGGAACACTGTTACATTTTTTGCTGTATCCTTGTACCAAAAACACAGTCATTTCACTTGGCTGTAAAACTGGTTCAATTTTCAAAATTTTAAATGAATTCATTACAAAAGAAAACAACCATAGAAGGAAAACCAGAACGCTTTGCCACACACACACACACAAACCATAAGCCAAAAAAGCCAGGCCAATGTATTCAGGTCTAGCCAGCTGCTGCCACCTCCTCTGGACCGGAGGCAGTTGCCCCAGGCAAGGGTGCTTGTCGAGTGTCAGAGGTGTTAAAGACACATGGGGCCAAGCTGAGACTTTCTCTTGTGTACTTGAAAAGGAAACAACTCTCCCTAGAGAAAGCTACATGACTCCCTGCTGAGCACCACCACCCCGCAGCGAGATCTGGGAGCCTCCTGGCTAGACTAGCACATCCTCTTTGATCTGGCTCCCACAAGCACTCCCAAGGGCCAAGGCTGATCCGGACCCCTGGACATCCCTTCTCACATACAAGTGAAGCTCAGCACCAAAGATGTGAGCAGACAGGCTGGTTACAACCCAAAGCTCAACCTTTCCCACAGAGATAATACATAGGTAGCCCCTTAAGAAAGGCATGAGAGAAAGAGGCAAGGGTTAGTTAGGGTGGAAAGCTGGGGCTGTGAGGGGACAGAGAAGGGCAGCCTCTCCTGATTGGAAGGTCCCTGCCCACATCTGGTGCTAAGGCCCCTAGTGGGTAAAGGGCCTGAATGCTGCACGGAAGAGCTCACAAGGGCTTTGCGTATGGCACAACTGCTACCTGTGCTCACCTCTGTCCCTAGAAAGCCCCACGGCAGCCTACACACTGTCAGTGATGCCTGGAAGGCTTCAGGTTCGGTGGAGGCTTCAGGAATTTAAACAGTCGCCTGCTCGGCCGGGGTGACTGCCTCTCCATCCAGCTGCCCACTTCAAGGCTAGTCATCCTCTTTCCTAGGCGACTGGCCTGCAAAACTAGGCCGGTGCAACCCTTGGCCGGGGCTCACAGCTGGCACACCCCACCCTGCAGCCCTCAGCAAAGTCAGAGGCGCCTCTCATGGCTTCAAAAGTTCCCCCAGGTTCTCCAGCCACAGGGGCCTGGAGTGGGTAACCGAAGTCTACTCTGGAGGAAAAGCACAGTGACCTTTTGTCCCAGCATAAGTTCCTGGCTCCCCGGGCCGCCGCGGAGGCGGCCCAGCCAGGAGAGTAAAGAACTGCAGATGTGCGCTCAGCGCCCAGGCCGCCCGAGCCCGCCGGGGAACGGGACAGCGCTGGTGGCCCCGCCGTCGACCAGAGCCAGGCTGGACCTTGCCCTGCATCCTCACCGCGCTCCCGACAGTTTTACTGAGCGCCGAGAGCTCTTTTCAGCAAAGAAGCAGCAACCAGAAACCACCCTTCCAGGGACAGGAGTCCACTCGGGCACGAGAGGAGGGCGCAGGTGGGGCCGCCTAGCTGGTGCGCGCCAAGGGAAGAGGCG